CAAAATGAGACTTATAGAACCAAAAGGATGTTCATTACAAGCTTTAATTACAGGATACCTTTCAAGAATAATTCACAATATCTTTTCTTGTTAGATGAAAGCCAGAGAGTATGGCCGAGGGCTTGCTACAATGGTAATCTAGATACAATGGTATTTGTTCGTTCGAAAACAATCCAATTATACTGGAATTGCTCAGTGGAGAGTGATGAGTACCCTTCATCTGACAACGTGGACCTAAAATGAAGACAGATTGCATCTTGTTGAAACAAGTGGCTGTTGTGAGGTGAAATACAAAAATAAAATCTGCCTAGAGAAAAGCAAAACGTGTATAAATTTTAAGGGTTCCTGGTTGTCATTTTTTCTTTATTCATTGCTTGCGAGTTCGGTATGTTAATCATTGTACTGTCTGAATGTTAGTTGGTAATAAATTGATCTCTAGAAAATCATTGGACGAGATAAAAAAATATGTTTTTATTCAAGGTTTACCACAAACCGCTAAAATGTATCTAGTTAAATCTTTACAATGAATTCATATTATAATAAAAGTTTTTAATTTCGCAACAAAATTACTAGTATTTGGATATATTGTTGTACTCGCACAAAAATGTATGAACGATTTTTATATCTTCGACAGTTTCGGAGATCCCTAACAAACGAAATATACTAAGTGGACCATGCTTCTGCCATATAAGGTTAATTTTAGAGGCACTCCTCTTCAACAGCATTCCCTTTGAAGATCAATGTTTTTCTTAACATAGATAAAGAATTCATTCAATGAGTTTTGTCCATCCTACAAAGGATATACCTTGGATATACCTAGGATATGCCTATAGTTTATAAAAATGTGTTTCCTATTCTGATACAATGTAAATAGCAGCTATTAACTTGATGCATCAGTTGCCCTTATTTAGCATAATCTTCATGCTCAGAAACTTATTTGGCATAACTGACTTGGCATAATCTTCTTTGGACGAAAACTGCTGTTTTAACATTATTTCACGTTTCATCATAATTTTGTTTAATAATACAAAGAAAGATCTCATCAATCAGTTGGGTAAGCTTAGAACTATGACCAAAACAAAAAGCGAGCGTGGTGTGTGAGTGGCCGACGAGCGTCATATACAACTATCTACAACGTATATGGATATAGAGAAAATATATGGTAAAAGGATAATCCTCACTACTAACTTACTAAGGAATTATGTTTTTACTTTTTAATTAATATGCTATTAAAAAAATCTGCTATAAGGGGTGGAGTATTTTAGTTAAAATCCTTTGTTAAGAGGATATGTTTTCAATCATTATTTAAAAAACTGTCATGAATGCGAAAATGGAAAAAATCTTAGCTAAGAATCTGTACATACAAGGTGACCAATTCGGCTATACCTTTAAAAAAATTCGACATTATTTATAGCTTTTAGATCTTTTTATTTTTGTTTTTACAGTTTGAATACTTTAATGTGACATGCTTAACTTTTAACATTACTGATTATCTCTGATCTGTTTATCCATAATTTCTTAAATACGTTGCATATACATTTTTCTAACTATACTATATAGCATTAAAAAGAAGTCAAGTTTTTAAACTTTGTTTGTTTTTGGGTAATCTTTGAAATGACTGATCCGTTCTTGAATATCCATTCACCTACAGATAACTAGACCACATATGCTTGTGATGTACACTATAATTTAAATCAAAAACGAAGAAAACGACTGAATTGAGAAAAGCACAAAATCTCCTCTGATTATTCTCAATAACTAAAGTTTTTACGTTTCATATGGCAAAAAGTCTAAGTTTTATGAAATTGCTATCAACTGATTTTTTAAAATTTATAAATCAGTAATGAAAACCTGTTTAATTGACGTTTAAAATGGCTTAAGCACGGTTTGAGATGTGCCCAACTTCAAATTCTCAATTCAGAAACCGGGTGTAAGTCTTATTAGTACCTACTAACCATATTAAGCTCAAGAATTGAAGTGCAAAGACAGTGTTATGTTGGCTCCCACCGCATGCAGTTTACGAAATCGATATAACACTCAGAATATGTCACACACCTAAACCTAACCAGAAACGTTATGAGAATCAATTTCTTTTTTATCGTTAATGTATAAATAATATTTATACAGTTATTGATTTTGAAATCAATACGAGCTACTCTCAATTCCACAAATGAGGTTCTTTTTAACTTGTATTGTATTCTGTATCGTAGAATTGGTCGCTTCATGAGACGGCGGGCCATTTCATGAAATGGTTGTATTTCATGAAATGAAAATAACTCGCTGGCCACATCATGATGTGGCCTGGCCAGATCCATGAATAATCTGCGTTAAATGACATGAGCTACTGATTATATAACTGCTTCTTGATACAAATTTGACGATAAAATATTACGTAAAATTTTTACATTACACAGAACACAAAAAAAAAACCCCTATAATGAGAAATATTATCGTAGCCTTGTTTTGGTTTAGTGCGCAATAATGACGAACTTTTTGAACAGGAGAAGAAGAATTAGTATTAAGACGAAGCCACAGGCACCATGAAGTAAATGATATTTTCTACTTCTCATAACTTTTTTTTAACGCTTAAACCCGGAGCCTTTAAACTAAAGAATCCGAAAGGTCTTATAATAAGCAAATATAAATGCGTTTTTATTGCGAATAAACAATGCGAATAAAAGAACCTAATTTTATTTATCGATATTTTCTTTTATAGTCTGCCACATCTAGAATAATGTTGTTTCGGTAATACTATTCTAACGAGTGTCGTTGTTCAGCGTACGGTGTCGTATAGCGTGAAATTGGAGTTCTCTCGCGTGACGTCGCAACTCTTCTTTCACGCTCCCAACTCTAAGCGGCCAGTTTCTTTATTTATTCCACATCATCTCTCAACTTTGACGTACAGGAAATAACTTTATACTTTCTTCATTTTTATTTGTTATGTATAATAAAATAAGAATATTTTTTTTCCAAACAGCGTTTGGCAAATGGTACCGATACTGGTATATTTTAATGCATTATTCATTTAATAGCTACATTATCAGCGAGCAAAGCCAAAATATTTGTTATTTTGACTTTTACAAAATTGTAACATTTTAAAAAAGTAAATAAAAATTATCACCGTCCGCTATAGAAACGCTAAATCAATTTTAGATTGATTATTTTTATTGAAATGAGTAAGTCGATAATCATAGGTCATCAACTGCATAATCAGAAATTACTGAATCTCGAGCTTCTTCATAGGTAGGCTTCGGAAGTCACTTAAAGACATTAATCCCGGATGCATCTGCAGTCATTAACATTCCTAAGTCACCCTGGGCCGATGACGTAATGCAAAACACGTGTAGAGTGTGGATTTTGCGAGATTTGTAGCCGTTTGTACATGTGAATTTGTGTGCGGGCGGTACACAACAGAAGGCAAATTCAACTAACGTTTACGTAATAATGGCATCTCAATAGTCTCAACAACCTATAGTACAGTAATTGTGCCGTGCACTATCCGTACCGGCGCATTAAACCAGCAAAGAGAGTGCGATGTGTGCCGATGACGTCATAAGGACTACTTTCACAGAGCTACTATACTTTACTTCGTGTAAAGTACATAGTGTAACATACTGTCAGAGAATAATGTAATGACGTTTGTCCACTGTTTCCGGATTTTTAACGTTCTATTAAAAATCCGGAAACAGTGGACATACCCACGGCATCGGCAAATCCGTACAATACGTGTCCTTTACCTTTTGACATTAAAAAATTCTCTTTTCTCATAAAAGAAAGATAAACATATGCACATAATTGTACAAACTTTGTACAAAACTTGGTACCTATTTTAGTTATTTATGTACTTCCGTATATTGTATTTCGTTTATGAAAACAAAAATAAGATAAATATATCATATTATTTATGTAGTAGAAAGAAACTTTTGGCAAGATATTTTAATATAAAGGTTTATATGATACACAACACTCTAAAGTACTCATACAGTACAAAATGTTGGACGCAACTTAAATAGGTACGATCTTTTGTAGCAGTATTGTATTTTAACATTGTCTTGAGGCAACGGTTAAATTTCTTAACGGAATTTACAACAGAATGTAATTACCGTAATCCCAGCGAGCACCCGCTTAGATAATTATGTATATCTGAGAATTTTAAGATTACACAATGTAGATTACGTAAGATACAGGAAAATCAATGCACAGTTTATTTCGTATTGTCAATAAAGCATATTGAATGATGAAAAACATTCCATTTATTAAAAATTTTCAAACGAACTCGTATGATCAATTTTGCATTCATATTACTGTATTGATAAATACATTAACACTAGAAGCGCCACCGTGCCATTTTTATCCCATAAGCAAGTTTGATTGTTTATAACTTTTTTATTTCGTCCGTGAACTTCTGATACCTCCTAACTAACATTTTTAGCAAAAAAATTTTTTGACGCCATCTTTTGACGATGCGTAGAACTAATCGAATGCTTTAACCTCCTAAATTAAATAGTCCCTTGTTTTGACGATATTCTTTCGGAGAAATATCTCTTAAATTTTGTCGCCCTATATTTGGCGGAAATTTCTCCGAACTGACAGTTTGCAAAGCGTGCGTGCACGGGCGTCGTACTCGTAAGGCGTTTGGTGATAAAAAGTAAGTTTTTAGAGTATTTTATGCTCAAATTTGTGATTTAATCTAATGTTGTTACTACCTAAAACGATTTTGTTAGTTATGTTTCCTAGAATACTTAAAACTAGATGTAGCTGAGATACATTTAAGTTTATGTAACAGATAGGAGTAATTTCTTCGAACACTTTTTACGTAAATAATGCATCTTTTGTATTAGATTCATATCAGATAGAATAAATTTCTATTAGAGTGATTTTGTTTTCCTATTTTTTACTTATTGCAATCAATATCTTTGCGGTAGGTAGTTTAATAAGTATAACGTTTGATTAATATTAATCTTTTGTATCTGTTTTTTTCTTTGGCAGCTTCTGCAATAATGGCGTCTAGGAACAGGGCTCATGCACTAGTAAACAAAATTTGTAGCTCAAGTGAAGCACATAATCTTGCACCCGCAACCTCAACTCCGATTCCGAAACAATTTCCGGAACAGATTGATCTTGCCACATTTACAGACCTACATTATTATGAAAGGAGCGAACCTCCGGGAGAAGAAAGATTGATCTTGGGGCCATTTAATACTGATAACAACGCAGATCTCGTTCAATTAAAAGACTTGATAGCGACAGATTCACTGCCTTTGTTAGTATGTGCAACACCAGCATCATCACCAACTTCGCCACCAACACCTAGACTAGATTCTACTTCATTTCGTGATGACTTTTCGCCAGATGACAGTGATTACGAACCACCCAACCACGATGCAATAAGCTCTGATTCCGAAAATATCCAACCAAATATTCAAATTACGGACACTATCCAGGAGGTAGTTCACTATGGCGATATGACAGAAGGCCGGCGTCGACTAAAAGAAGCTCAACCAGAAAGATGGAAAAAAAATGTTACCAAGCGACTGCGAATGGAGGGTAAAGAGTATGTAGGGTACAAACGGCCAAGGGGTGAAAAAGTTCGACCCCAATTTCGAAACTCAAGGGTCATTGGACCTAGGTGTGTTTCGAATTTCTGCAGAAAGAGTAAGATCAGATGTTGTGATGAAGTAGGTGATGACGATAGGGATAAGATATTTCAACAATTCTGGAATGACATGGATTGGCATCAACGAAAAGTATACGTAGCTAACAACGTAACTTTTCAGGGAAAAGGCAGACTAACAGTATCTGAAAGTTCGAGAAGATCAGGTACTTTAATTTATTTTCTTCCTGTTAGCAATCCCAATGATGGCACCACAACTAAGAAGCGAGTATGTCGTGAAATGTTTCTTCAGACTCTTTGTCTCGGATCATTTTCAGTACAGAGTTGGGCCAAAAAAGGGCAATGTGGCATGCATCCATCAGAAGAAAATATGAATCGTAACCGCCGTCCCAGAGCATTACCTTGTCAGGGACGTGCGGATGCCCTAAATAGCTTTTTGGATGGGTTGCCTAAAATGCCGTCGCATTACAATCGTCTTAAAACCAGCAAAGTCTACCTAGAGCCCATTTATCGGAATGTCAATCACTTATACAGTACATACAAACAATTTTGCTCAGAAAAGGAGGTTAATCCCTATGCTAGAAATAAATTTACACAGACACTTAAATCTAAGAATATAGCTATCCATACAATAAAGAAGGACATGTGTGATACCTGTGTGGGTCATCAGACTGGTAATGTGTCTGAGGATGATTTCCAAATACACCTGTGCAAGAAAAATCGAGCTCGTGAAGAAAAAAATAAAGACAAAAGTGAAGCAATTAATGGTAAATGCATAGTTTTGACGATGGATTTACAATCTGTTAAGGTGTGTCCGTTTATCACCGCCAGCGCTGTTTATTACAAGACCAAATTGTGTGTGCACAATTTTTCCATTTACGATTTAGCCTCACATGATTGTACTTGTTACTGGTTTACAGAAACGGAAGGTGATTTATCAGCATCTACCTACGCAACATTCATTACAGATTATTTGACTCGCCATTGCCTGCCCAAACGTTTACCAATTATAATATACTCAGATGGCTGCACAAGCCAAAACAGAAATAATATTTTATCCAATGCCCTATTGAATTTTTCTATGCAATATGAAGTGTCTATTGTTCAAAAGTACCTTGAGGTTGGACACACTCAGATGGAAGGAGACTGTGTGCATAGTGCCATAGAAAGAAAATTGAAAAATAGATTAATCCACCTTCCAAGCGACTTTTTGTCGGTTACTAAAGAAGCCCGTAGAAATCCCTATGAAGCCATTATGGTTGACTACACATTTTTTTAAAACTTTTCATCTCCTGAAACATTACGCTATACCTCAATACGGCCGGGTCGCAAGACTGGCGATCCGAAAGTTACAGATATAAGGGCTATCAGTTACAACAAAGACGGTATCATTAAATATAAACTAGACTTTGATTCCGATTGGGATACTCTCCCTCAACGTGTTAACAAAATTTCAATAGTAAGAGAGTATCCTCCCTTACATAGAAATAGAATACCAATCACAAACCAGAAGTACAAACACCTACAGGAACTGAAGACAGTAATTCCACTGGACTGCCATTCCTTTTATGACTCATTACCTCATAATGATCATTAAAGCTCATTCAATATTATGATCCTTATTTATCTACTTCTTTGAATTAGTTGATTATTTTAATTTAAGGAAACATTATTTTTGTTAGAATATTTTTAAGTTGTTTGAAGACTGTTTAAAACCTTAGTTCCTATCATAACTAGAGATTGTTTTTTTTTTTACTAAGATTTAAGTTTATTTGAATGTCACAAGATTTAATTTTGGTTTTTGTTTCTTGATTTTTAAGGTTAATAAAATTTAGGTATTTAATACCTAATTTTAGTTTTACTATTTTTCTGGCTTTTTCTAATAAATCCTATCTTCAAATTCGTACACTTCATTCATAGTTTTGGGGGTGATTCCTCCTGAGTAACTAATGTAAATATCTCCTATCTGCATTTTGTTAAGAATTTGAAAACTTAAAACTCCTAACTTCCGTCAAATAAAGAAAAGCTCAAAATAATAGGTATTTTGCAACATTAATAGTAAAAGCACTTAAAAAGAGATCAAGTGTTTTTTTATTTTTTCAATAGTCTTCACAGTGACTAAATAAATCAGTTTATAGTTCCTCCTGTAAAATGTGTGTATAATCAGATAGGAGATCTCAGAAGTTCACGGACGATTTGTTAATTTATGTAATTTCTATCGATGAAACTCTATCGCTTTAAATAATTTTATTCATTTATAAATTATTTTTACTTTTATATGGGTAATACTTTTGCAAAAAAAATACGTTTTACCTAGCACTCTGCTTGGTCATTTTTGACCCATTTTTATTTGAAGGAATAATTCGACATTCGATGTAGGTATATCTAGTCAACGTCATAACAAAATTAAACAGCACGAAATTGGGCCAGCGTGGAGGGTCATGGCCCATTCTTTCAATGATATTTTGATGGCGAATCTTTAAAATACTCCGGTTCATCATGTGATAAATCTAAGGATACTCAGATAGATATACAATAAGGTAACTTTATTATTTATATCTCCGTGACATCATACTGGGCGATATTTTTAGTTATGTTATATAATAATATATTTAATGTCTATTTCTTTCTTTTATTCGTAAATAAAGCATAAAGTAGCTCGGTAGCGTAGAGGAAAAGCGCCGCGGCCCGCGATTTTAAGCAACTTGTTGTTAAGCAACTTTCACAAGGGTCAGTCAAGGGATGGGTGACCAAAAAATTATTATTTCGAGCTACTTCGTGCTCGTTAAGCCGTTGGTCCCGGGTGCATTTGCAATCGTTAATACCCTCCAATTCACATTGGACCAGCGTGGAGGGTCATGGCACATCCTCCTTAACGTAAAAAGGGCTGATAATGATGATGATGATGAAAGCATAAAATCAAAAGCGCAGTCAAAAACTCAAAAACGTATACAAGTTCGAATTGTTCGAAACGACCGCGGTCGGTAGACTGCGACATTCAAAAAGTTATTGATTTGTTACTTTTATGTTTGTTTATTATTAACAATTTAATTATTAAACTTATTCTGAATATTTCACAAATTGTTTTAATAACAATTTTCATGTCTTATACCAATGATCAATATAATAAATAGAATAGGAAAAAATTGGCACGACCACGGTGATTCAAGGTGGCTCTTAATCTTCGGCACTTCTAGTGGTAAAGAAAAATATTCTTCTCAGTGTAAGTATATGGGACTGGCATATTTTTTATTCTTTAATGCTTACGAGTAAAAAGAAACGTAAATATTATTCAACGTAATAAACACAATAATACATTTTAAGCAGATACTTAAAAAAAACTGCATCTCTACATATAATTTTGGTACCATCCACAAATTACGTCCATTTTGGAATCCCTCCCTAGAACCCTAAACAGAGGATGCAAAGTAACCAAAACCAAAATTAATAGAATCTATATTTGTTTATTGAGTAACCAAATTTGCGAGCGAATCTATTTCATTGTTAATACGTGCCGTCTTCTTATAAAAAAGCTTTGTCTCTTTGTGCACTATTTCACATTGCTCAATCGTTATTCTATTGTAGATTACAATTAAATATCCTACTTTATTTTACTAGACATAAAAGATATTTTCCAACTCGACCAAAAGTGTTTTAGAGTTGTTACCGTTGGTACAGTTGTTACATTCATCAAGCATAAATTTAAGCTGTATAAAATTTTGTTACTAGATACGTCAATATTTTTCAATGATAATTGCGTTAAGTAACCTGATTAATAAATAACGCTGTTTAAATAACAAGTTCAAAAAATGAAATCGGTTAGAGGCTGAAATAATATACAGGTATCTGCTGTACATCCTGACCAATGTATAAGACCATTAAAATATCTCACTTTCCTTATACCGCGAAGATCATTTGCAAATTTATTCCAGCCACTCGCCTCTCATCAAATAATGTAGTGACAATATCGCGCCGCAACACCACATTTTCAACCCTAAGATTATCGGATTAGGGTGAGATTTGGTTGTTAATGTTTCATTTCAATTTGTGTTAGTATTATTCTGGTAATTTGCATCGCAGAGCCTCTTGTTGCGATAGCAGTAGTGAAGGGGTGCAATTGTAAAAATATACATTAAAATCCATATTACATTTAAACGGTGATTGTGCGCAAAATAGTAAATTTCGACGTTCTCGGTCTCGAAAACAAAAATATATTAATAATTTTGACTTATTGAATAGTGCAAAATAACTCATACAATAAATAGTTCGAAGCGGCCTTGGCAATTTTCCTTAACTTTTTAATTAAACCCAAAATAGAAGAGAAAGATTTTCATAAACTGCGCGAAGACACTTGTGAGTTCTAAACAAAAGAAATCAAAATAGAATGATATCTCTATCTATAATAGGGATGACAACTGGGTAAAAAAAAAGAATTTTATTTAGTCAAGTAACAGAAAAATATTATATACGTTTTTTGTAGACTTAGATAATAAGATATTTTAACTCAATGTATCTTCGTATTTTATTGAGTATTAAAAAAAAGTATTTCATTTAATTTCTTTAATAATCTACCACAAGTACAAACATACAAAAATTTGTCGTCTTCCCTATTTCAAGAACTACTGGAATTAATGTTTTTTTTTAGTTGAGTAGTCGGGGTAGGCTATAGGCGTATCGGGGTAGGCTATATAGGCTTTATTACATATATAGGCATTACTAATAGGATTGGAGCAGCAATGAGAAATGTAGCAAAAACAAGAGAATATTTTACTTTTTGTGAACTTGCGTGCGCCGTTTTTGAGTAGCTCGGTGGCGTAGTGGATAAGCGCCGCGGCCCGCGATCGTTAACTTATCCCGAAAAAAGCAAATAAAAGGATGAAAATTAGACTTGAAATTCGTATAGAGCATTAAATTGTTACCATGGAAACCATTGTTTACATTTCAATTTATTAATCTAAACTAGATAACATTACTTATATATTTTTTTTTGATTTCGAGACACTACTTTATGAAATGTTTTAATAGAATTCAGCGATTGAATTGTATAAGTAGTAGTGTTTTGCAAAGTACCTAATCTTTCAAGAATGAGTTTTCAGCTAAACTTGTTAAAAATTAATCAATTATATATTTTTTTTGCATTGGCTAACTTTATTTTTAAAAAATCATTACCTAATAATAATTGTCTATAACGTATCTATACATCAACCCAAATGTCAAACTTTTAAAATAAGATATCCTTAACTACGGATCTATAGACCAGACATCACTAGAGATTCTCACCACTTGGATGTTGCTTGAATATGGAATAATCACGTACATTACTTTAAATCTCTCTAGGATGCATTAGCAAAACGGCGTAACGTTGATTAAACGAAGATAAAACATTTTCTAAATGTTTTAATATCATTTTTATAAATATGACATATATATTTTGAACACACTCAGACGGTTGATGGAAATTGAAAATATTATGAGCAAGCGACCCATTTTTCAAAATGAACTGATAGATAGACTAGTGACTAGTGTAGTGACTTCGCCAAACTACTTATATGAAATCCATAAAGTTAATTGGGTACTGTCAGTTTTATTATATTTCGTAGCATCTTATACTAGATCTATGTCTTCTTTGAATCAATGCAAGTTTATGCCTTCATCGAAGCGACGATGCATTAGATAAAAACATCAACACCAGCCGTTCGTGTGTTTCCAATATCCGCTGATGTCGTAGCTATAAAGCTGAATAGTCTTGCGGCCATACTTCCAATTGAAATAATATTATATAATTTTGCAAATTTTAACATCACACGCTATTGTATTAGATAAAAAAAATTACTTGCTACCTCGCTAAAACCAACCACACGAGACCCTCATCAATGTCACGCCGTTTGTTTAGAGTGTACCTATTTGTGCGCAACGTGTGTCTCAACATTTATTGATCACCTAAAATACTAATTCTTATTTCTCATAACAGTAAGAAATGTATATCTATCATCTTCTCTTTCCCTACATTTTATTCCCGGAATACACGTGTTACGGAGCCATTAGGCGACATTTCTAAAGAAACTAGTGTAGTCTTCAAAATATAGTTGTTAAGGAACATGTTCTACAACATTTTATTCCGTTAATCCCTAATTTATCTTAGACTAGGTATATCTTTCGCAACACACAGGGGTGAACAGTAGAAATATCACGTGATCGTCAAGTATGATTTGCATTGCACTGCAATAACAAGTACTTAACCATGACGGGGCGCTTATCCTACCCTCAATCCTGACTTGA